AGCAAAGTAAAAGCCCTTAAAAAATAAATGAGCAACTCTGGCCCAAAAGAGAGAGCAAGCCCCAAAGCTTACCTCTCTTTTTTGCAGACACACTCCGGTTTTTGACTTGTGATGTGGAGGGACATTCTTGCAGGGATGACATGCTGACCTCATCTTCTGTCCCCTCTTCTCTTGGCATACTGACATCTGGACAAAGAAATAACTTTATTGTAGTATACACAACATGAAATAGCCGTCAGTACAGTGGTTGTGTTATTTTATAAAATAATTTAGTATATTCAATTCAATTTTCAATTCAGTTTATTTATATAACGCCGATTCACAACAGATGTCGTCTCGAGGCACTTAACAAGAAGTCAGTATATGGGATTTGTGTCCCTTACAGAGACACAGTTTATTTTTTCCCTTCTCCTATCGTCCTAAATTCTTCTCAAGTGACTAGTGATGTGAAAATATTAGTTGTCATGTTAGCCCAGGGATGGGCAACTCCAGTCCTCAAGGGCCACTATTCTGCAGGTCTGAGATGTTTCCCTGCTTCAACACACCTGATTCAAATTAAATAGATCAAACAGCTTGTTGCCAAGCTCTGCAAAATGAATCAGGTGTGTTGCAGCAGGTAAACATCTAAAGGATAGCGGCCCTCAATCAGTATATTTCCTCATATAGTGTACAGACGACAGACCGTTCCCATGCAGTCCACTAGTGCTGAAGTAGCCGTGCGCTGTAAAGATTGTATGTTGGACAATATAAGATGAACTGATTTCATCAGACAGACAGCGACTGTAGTTACTGACACAAGTAGCATTGATGTTTAGGTTAGTGTGCCCTCACCTACTGTTTATAGGTTGCTCCAATCTCACGGCGCAGACTTCACGCAGGGATTGCACGGCTACTCAAACATTTGTCCTCCTCAACTGTGAACGAGTACACAGTTACAGCGAGTTGAGTACGAGTACGCAGATGAGGAGGTAACATGTCAAGACGACAAGGCTGTACGAGTTTATTTGATGTCATCTAACCTGATGGCATGTGCGTTTGAGCCAGTGATGAGGAGGAGAGTTGAGAGACCCGTTTTTGCGTAAGTTGAGGGAGCTGCAGTGGCTCCGGAGGAGAGGGTCGGCAATCCTTTGCAGTGCAAGTGCAGTCACTGCGATCAACCGTGGAGTCTGTTTGCTGCCATGAACCAGACTTGGATAATGTGCTCAGGGAATTGTCCTGCATCACCTTATCAAGCACATTCCTGATGTTCTGTAATGACAGGGACGTGTTGGAGTAGCTGTGCTATCCCTGTATGAAGTCCGTGCCGAGAGATTAGAGCAACCTATAAGCAATAGGTGGGTTCACGCTAACCACAAAATGAATGCTACTTGTAATTTCAGGCAGTACTGAAGCAGTGTTCAGTTTTAAAACTGGGGTTGTGTTTGATGCAGGGGCTGCACAATCAGTCAGACAGGTCTCCTGACAGAGTTGCAGGAGAAAGAGGTGGGTAGGACAAAGAAGGGAGATGGAGTTGTTGATGTTCAATTTTTTGCCAAGTGCTGTGTGAAATGCACGAAAGGAAAGGTAAGAATTGCGTTCAAGCTCACCGGTTGAAGACACTCCCTGGTTTTGACTTTGTGATGTGGAGGTACATTCTTGCGTGGATGATATGATCTCATCGTCTGACCCATCATCTCTTAGCATACTGACATCTGGAGAACTCATGAATACAATACACAAAATATCTAAAACGGATCATTTAGAATCAATTTAGCAACATCGTATACACATACCTTCAATATCCTCAGCTAAAGGTCCCTCCATGTTAATGGTCTCTAAAATGATAATTGATAAAAAATTGAGATTGGAAAGCTGAAACTATGGGCAATCTGCAAGAGAATACAACAGTAGTATTATCTCTCATCCCGTCACTATTACTGCCCTATGCTTTACATTGCAAATAGTTGTTTTCTGAATGCGGAAGACTAAATGTCATATATGTGCCTTCAAGAATATAAAGTTAATTACCATTCACATCGACTTGTATTTCATCGAGGCTCTTTCCTTTGTAATCTCCTAGGCGTCCTTGTTCCATTGCGAGGAGGACTTTACTTACTTTGGCTAATTAGAGGGTGCTTTCTGGGAGCCTGTAGTGTTTCCTGTGAACAGCGATATTATGACCAAGGAAGTCTGCCAACTGGTCGAGCTCGGTGGTTTTGAGGTTCAAAACAGTAGACAGGGTAGCAATATGTTTCCTCAGTTGAATTGATTTTAGCGCTTGAGGATTTTTTATGTCACCACATTCACTGACAAATTGCCTCATGCAGTCACAAGCCCTGAGGTAATGGGCAGATTGTGGCAATGCAAACATATTCATTGTCCTTCAGCACCCCACATACTTCTCTGCACTCAGTAAGAGCATCAAGTGATTCTCTTATTAATGGGGTTAGAAGAACTGGAACCTTCCTTCCTCTTTTTCCAACAATTGCTATTCGCACGAAATGCCTGCAGAGCTTCTGCTCAAGCGGTGTGAGGGCCAAATTTACATCTCCCTGTTCCTCTGATGTGTCCTTCGATAAGTATGCAGACAGGCGCATTCAGGACAGTTCACCTGCTCTCCGCCGATTAAAAAGCATAACTTGAGTCAACGTTACTTTTGCAAGTTCCTTCCAATTTGTGGATGAACGATGTTCTTTTAAATCTTTGAGATGTTGCTGCTGTTTTTCTTCTAGATAGCAATGTAGCTTTTGGATATCTTGTGTAAGAGGTAAAAGTTGCGGTGCATTCCATTTGGCCCGGTTAAGCTGGGTTAATGCCTGGCCTGCAATATCAAACCTCCAACTCTCTAAATACAACTGTGCAAACTCCTCGGCATCTTTAATGGTTTCTCTATCTCTCTTTTTCAGTACTTCGGACTTGATAAACATGGGTTAGGGTTAGAATGCAGGCTGGGTCCTACCTTGCGTGCAAGAGAGGGACATTGGTATATCCCAGTTTGCTCACTGAATCCAGAGAGGTTCTTTGCAGCTCTGACAACCTGTGAGTACTGTTCAGGTTTAATGAGTTCTTGAATGGTCCTCACACGTGTGATTTTTTTAGCTTCCAATAAAAGCCTGCCAAGTTCTCGCAGTTTTTGGCGTATATACTGGTGTTGACTGACTATCTTCTCATTCTTTTTGAACAACCTGAACCCATAATTGAGGATGCAGTTGTCTCCTTTAATTGCAACTTCAATCTCGTCCTGAATCATTACACTCAAGAACTTTCATTACGCGTCTGTATATTCTGATGGAGAAGGTTCAGCGAAAGCACATAATGCCTGAACTCTATTTTTACCTGGTTTAGCATTTTTGGGTTTGAAGCTGCAGACCTTGAAATGCCGCCACATCGCTCTTCTTGAGAACAACCCATAGCAATGAATGCAATGTGCAAATTTATGTCCGTCTGATTTTTTTACCGGTTGTTTACATGGGATTAGTTTTCCTTTTTTTGTGACTGTTGTGCTCGAAGTTTCCCTTATTTCGTATGTAGTCAAATTGTAGTTTTCTTTCCTTTGAGTTTTTTGGTAAACTGAATGCTTTCGCAACATCCGATTCATGTTGGTGTTTACGCCACAAGTGTCTTGACATTTTCTGGACAAACTTCCTGCAATAAAAGCAGAAATGTTTCTTGTTAAAGCTTCTGGATCCGTCATCTTTCTTTAAAGTTGGACTGACAATCATATACTGCTCTTCTTCCAGGGGCACTGAAACACTGTTTTCAGAATATGTTGCGATTTCCTTTTTATTCCCATCAACTCTGCTATTTGGAAATCTTTGTGTGGGATCTATATATTGTGTGGGATCTATATATTGTGTGGGATCTGATATATTTTGTATAGGCTATAGATTAAAATAGTCTAACATAGGCTGTATAAAATAAAATGACACAACCTTGTCTCTTTTTATTTTATTGACCAAGAATAGCCATTATTAAAAGTTTAAGCTTAAAAAGTATAAGTAGTATAAGTATAAGAAGCTATAAGTCAACAAATAAGGCAAGTTAAAAGATTCAGTCAAACATACGTTTCAACGTTACAGTTAAATAGCCTAAATATATAGTTATGAAACTTCACTTTTCCCCTCAGCCAAAACGATTTTCCAGGGAACAAATCATAGAATAATGAGACCAAAGATCGCCCGTCTGATATACACAAGCCGATTTATAGCTCATGTTTAACCACTAGACACAGAGCCCGCGGGAAACGCAAGAATGACTAGCCGGGGCAAGGCTGTTGCAGGCGGGGTACATGAGCGCTGAGCACCCGCTGCCCTGTGATCACCTGGAACTCCGAAAACGTCAGATCAATTTTTTAAAATAGGCGCTATTTTTATAAATAAACCACAGATTTGAGCTTTAAACAACTATATTCTCGACTGAAAAACTCTTAAAACTACATTTCGTGACCCAATAACACAAATATTTTTGAAAAATTCTTCACCACACCGGCATCCTTTATCTTCGTAGTTTTCGCTCCCGAACAGCACCATAGCAACCGTTCTCCCCTACAAGGATTCTGGGTAATATCCTACAGCAAAGTGAGGTCTGATGCGCACTTACGAAAAGGGTACATTAAGTGCCCTTTTGATCACCCCTGGAGAACACTATTAGAGGATTGGGACACCCTACGGTCTTGCACCCCTTAGCGAAAACGCGCATTGAGGGGCACAAGGGCGCAAGTGCGGATATTGGGACAGGGCCCAAAAGTCTTCTCTGGCTAAAGTCAAATTGGCTATGTCTGGAGGACCCACTTCCACTCTCTCGGGAGGATCTACTTCCACTCTCCGTGGGCTTAGACTTGCTCTGTCTGGAGGACTCGTTTCCACTCTCTCGTGAGGATCTACTTCCACTTTCCCTGGGCTTAGACTTGCTCTGTCTGGAGGACTCGCTTCCACTCTCTCGGGAGGATCTACTTCTTTCTCTGGGCTTAAACTTGCTCTTACTGGATGATGCACCTTTCTTCTTTTTTTCCTTTTCCAGGGTTAATTCCATACTGCTATCACTTTCTGTGCTTTCATCCCTGGGATTTGGAATATACTCCTCTTCGCTACCTAAGTTTGAGTCATCTGATTCCATGAGATTCATCTGAATCTTTAAAAACAAACACAAATCTGTTAATACCTATTTTTGCAACATTACATATAAAAAACCTGAGTATACTGATTAAACAGGGTCAGGATACTAAATGAAGAAAAAATCTGTATGGACCATTTTAATTACAAGTACATTTTTAAATTAGAAGAATCCCCATTAGACTCACTAGCAAGAGCAACTGCCCAGCCCCAGCCCTAGCCCTAGACCAGCCCCACTCCAGCCCAGCCCTAGCCCTAGCCCCAGCTCAGCCCCAGCCCTGCCCCAGCCCTGTCCCAGCCCTGCCCCAGCCCCAGCCCCGCCCCAACCCAGCCCCAGCTAAGCCCCGCCCCCGCCCCACCCCTAGCCCCAGCCCCACCCCTAGCCCCAGCCCCACCCCAGCCCTAGCTCCCCCAAAAAAGACTTACGGGACGGCAAGACCTTCTTCTCAGCTTCTGTGAAACCCTTTCAGGCTTAAAAAAAGGAGTCTCCTCTGCGCTGTCACTACTTGAATCATGGAGACCGTGGGTAAAATCTTGTACTCTATCCATCTGCAAAAAGGGAGACATGGAGATATTTTGCTGTATGATTGCTGTATTTTTAATTGATAGGGAGACCATTCAGAGGTTGTCAGGTGAGCTAGACACCTATGAAAATTATTGACCAATATTACCCCTCCATCAACCTGCTGAGGCCCATGTCCAAACTGCCTTCCAGGTGGAGTAAACGTTGACAAAATTATTAAAAAAAAATTAACATTTCAGTTTTCATGCATTTGATTGTTAAATTTAATGACTTCACAAGAATGATTCATCATAATGATATAGTGTCATGGAACACCTGTAGACATGGAACTACTCCAGAGAGAGGGAGAGATTAGTCAATTTTCCGAAGTGTCTTCCTCACCTCACAATTGTCTCCCCATCACTTAAAAATCAGCAATTAGTCAGAAAAGAAGATTTTATTACAGAAAGTAGATATTATTATTAGAAATTATTACATAAGCAAATTAATTATATTGTTAAAATGTGTCTTGGGGCTTACCTGAATGCTTTTTGTGCGTCTCAGACGTGGAACAAGTTCATCATCCGATTCTTTCACAACAGTTTCATCTGAATTGTACAAATGATCTGAAACATCTGGGCCAATATCATTCTGCCCTATAATAACATCCAGGTGTGGGGTGGGAGGTTCGTTTTCCATACCATCCTCATCAGTTTCATCACTATCTGGATAATCAACCAGTGAAAATCCTTGGACAATAAATACCTAAAAATAAACAAAAATGTATTAAGTATGAAATTAGAAAGGTTGGCCAAAGAAACATGGCATGGTCTGACTAAAAATCTAAATCCAGAAATGTGAACACCAGCCCTTTTAGACAGTGTAGAATTATAAATGTTAAAATCAGAGTACAGTTATACTGAAGTATTACAATACTATCATATAGTTGCCTGAGGAAGACCATTTGGATCCCCACGTTGGTAACACTTTATTTGAAATGGTGTGCATAAGAATGACATAACACTGTCATAAACATGACATTTCACCTGTCATGAACATGAAGGAGTCTTTATGAATGTTTATGACTTTTGTCATTAAGTGTCATTTGGTAAATTATGACACTTTTAATGCAAAGTGTGTGACATTACCATGGCCTTTAACAGCCAATATAAAGCCACATAAGCAATGGTCCACTTTAGTAATAGGACACAACACACAACCACATACATGTCAGCAAAGATGAAGTGTTTGAAAGTAATTTTACCTGTGAGCAGGTCTGATCTGGGTTTGGGCCATCATTTAGCATCTGAAGAACAGGGCTGGTCTCATTCTCTACAGCTGCAGAAGGAGTCTGAAGGCATTTTACCTGAAATAGACAGACAGAGACTCAGAACTGTATGAAGAGACATTCACAGGCTAATACGGTCATCTAATGGTGAAACAGCACTGATCTTCATGGACTAAAAAGCAGCTCACGTCTATTCCAGGAGTTTGCAGTGGATCAAATGAAAATATTTCTTTAAAACATCTAACAACTCAGATACAGAATACAATTATGAATGTTAAAATCATAGTTGAGGTCATGTCAGGTGTTGTTATAGTGCATTAAAAACACTTACAGTAAGAACTGGACGGAAGGGCCCCACACGGTCTGACTAAAGACATATGAGTGTGTAAAGGAGAGACTAGAGAAACAAATGTATTTGGAAGATGGAAGGACCCCATAAGGACATGACTGGAAACATGACGGTGTGTGTGACATTACCTGGCTTTAACAGCCAATATAAAGCCACATAAGCATTGGTCCACTTTAGTAATAGGACACAACCACATACATGTCAGTATAGATGAAGTGTTTGAAAGTACTTTTACCTGTGAGCAGGTCTGATCTGGGTTTGGACCATCATTTAGCATCTGAAGAACAGGGCTGGTCTCATTCTCTACAGCTGCAGGTGGAGCTTGGGTTTTTTTCAACTGGATTGCAGATAAAGAAGAACTCATTTTAACACACATCAAAGACCAAAGATTAAATGCATTTCCATAGACAGTCAAGAGTAATATTGGACACATGGTTAATATTGGAGAAATACAAAATTTGCTTTGGCAAAAAAAAAAGAAAAAAAAGAAATCTCTATACTTAATCTAATCAACTCACCTTACTGCGCCAAGGCCATTTTGAATCACCATAGTTGTAATCAATTTGATCTCCTATTTCTATTTTCTTCAGAGAAAATAGGCACAAATGTGTTTTGTTGTCAACTATGATCTTTTTCATAATGCAATTCGGATTTTGGTGGTTGTCGTTGACCAAACGTCCTAGAGAAAAATCGTCTTACGATGCATCCAGGCTGAAAAGTATCAGAAAAATGGTAATAGTTTTACATCTTTTTAAAAGTTTTATTGAAAGAGTTATTTTCAAAAGAATTTAAGAGTATTTGTGCTTAATTCATTCATCAAGTATTAAACCCTTGTTTCAGAGTTAACTCGTAATTTCTATAAATCAATAAAAAGACATCCATCTTTCAATGTTTACCATAAGTGATGATTCTGCCACTGAAAGTCAAAGAAAAATGTGCTTTCAATCTCTGAGTATTTTCTTGACTTGCTTTCCTCCTGTGTGAGGAGTTTACCCCTGTACTCCAACACGAAGTCCCCGGGTTCAATGGGTTGTGTGGCAAACACTCCTCTTCCTACAATAATATATAATAATTAAACATTTCATTCTAGGACTCAAAAAGAGATACTACAGTATTTTCAAAGTGAGGATGAGGTTCTTGCGTCTAGTCAGTGTATTACCTGCAGACAATGATCACAGATTAAGAACGGACCAAGCTGTCAGGGATCAGTGGATTAAATTCTTTTTTAATGACGCGGTTCCTACAACCTTTCCCACTGGCTTAACGTTAGGTGTCTGTGCTAATCATTTTATCATTTGGGATAATCAAGATGAAAATTTGCCTTAAACTCTAAACTGCAGCTAGTCTACTACAGCAATAGGCATCATCCTGACAATTCAGTAGAATATTCTGACAAAGCACTCTGACAATCTTGCCTGGGCTGTAAATTATCACACTCACTTCGATCACTGTCTGTCTTTGACAAAGGCAAAAAATAAAAAATAAAATAGGAATATATAACCTGAAAACACACAAAAACTGTACCTTGTCATTACATCAACAACAATACTCTTTTGCTTTTGAAATGCACAAGTTGTGTCAATGAATCTTCTGCAACTTACCTTTGTAATGGTCAATGAATCTCGGCATAAACCCATCCTTGTCAGTGCAAGACAGAATGTACGTCTTTGCATCATCTATAGGCTTTTTCCTCCTCCTCCTTATGGACATAATGGCTCTGTGAAAATAATTGTAATTCGTAGTTAGTTAAGGCAAATCTCACAAAGTTAACTTGTTAGATGATAACCATGTTATGCTGCACAGACTCAGTAATCAATTTAAACTAGGGCTGTCAAACTTAACTTCTGGTACAGCAGCATGGCGGCGTTGCCACATGACCATTGACTGACAGCATCACATCCTTCCTCATACATGGATGGTTATGGGGGGGACGGGGTCCAGGGTAGGCCGGTACCACCCAGACAAAAAGCTTGGTGAATTATATATATATACACTGTCTACCAGTCAAAAGTTTTAGATCAGTAAGATTTTTTATGTTTTTAAATGAAGTCTCTTCTGCTCACCAAGGCTGCTTTATTTGATGAAAATTAAAAAAACAAACGACAATTAAAATGACAGTTTTCTATTTTAATATATTTTAAAATGTAATTTGAAAGCTGAATTTTCAACATCATTACTGTTGCTGATTACACATCAGTTTTCAGTGTCACATGATCCTTCAGAAATCATTCTAATATTCTGATTTTATGCTCAAAAAACAAATTATTATTTTCAATGTTGAAAACAGTCGTGTACCATTTCACCCCAAAATTCTATGATGAATAGAAAGTTCAAAAGAACAGCATTTATTTAAAATATAATCTTTTCTAACATTATAAATGTCTTTACTGTAACTTTTGATCAATTTAACTTATTCTTGATGAATAAAAGTATTTTGTAATTTCTTTCCCCCCAAAATAAAAATAAATTCTTACTGACCCCAAACTTTTGAATGGCAGTGATTAATGTTACAAAAGCTTTCCATTTCAGATCAATTCTGTTCTTTTGAACTTTCTATTCATCAAAGAATCCTGAAATAAAAATGTAAAAAAAAAACTGTTTTCAACATGGAGAATAATCATAAATGTTTCTTGAGTATCATATTATAATTATTTCTGTAGGATCCTGTGACACTGAAGACTGGAGTAATGATGCTGTAAATTCAGCTTTGATCACAGGAATAAATTACACTTGACTATATTCACATAGAAAACTGCTGTTTTAAATTGTAATATTTCACAATATTACTAGCTTTTTTTGTATTTTTTATTAAATAATTGCAGCCTTGGTGAGCAGAATAGACTTCTTTTAAAAAACATAAAAAATCTTACCAATCTAAAACTTTTGCAAAGTAAATTTGGAAAAAAAAATTCTATTATTTTCTCTCAACTGTCCTGCTCTAACGAACCACCTGCGGGTAGGATGTTATTTCAAAACGGCACCGTACATTAGCTTCAGTCTTGCGTTAGCTTCTGGCTAACCTCCATTAGCGAGTCCTGCCCTGTCTTGTTTACAATTCACAACCGATTCCACCTTTAACGACACGATTTCACTGCACCCCGTCTCTGCCCCGCTGTCATGTCCGTGGTGACGTTATTAGATTATGCCAACAGCTAATAGTAATATTATGTCGCTAAAGTTAGCTACATGGCAGCTAAACGAGGTAGCAAACATCACGATGTAATGCCAAAATATGAACTCACCATAAAAACCTCACAATTCACAACCAACTCTACTTTTAACGACACGACTTCACTGCACCCCATCTCTGCCCCGCTGTCATGTCCGTGGTGACATGTTATTAGGTTAAGCTAACTGCTAATAGTAATATTATGCCGCTAACATTAGCTAAATTGCAGCCAAAAGAGGTATCAAACATCACGATAAACTATAACACCGAAATAAACTCACCATGAAAACCATGCCTAGCTTACCTGTTGGATGCAGAGGTCGGTGTTTGTAAAAATGTTCTGATTTCCAACCCGTCTTCTTCTGTCTTCAATCTTCTATCCTTGAAGTCGTCTTCTTCTTCTACGTTACTTGTGCAATTTCCGCAGTTTTCCTTACTTTCACGGGAATCGCGGCTGATTGTACAGTGCTGTAATTTCATTGGCTAAAGGTTTCAGATTCCTGCGGTGTGTATTCGATTTCGCGGGAAGTGTAAACATGACTTCCGTTGAAAAAAAAGCTCGACGATACACACCTTCACACAATTACCCACTTTTTGCTACCTTATGGGCCACTTTTTAGAGATGGGAAAAAAGCAATGGACTCCGAAATCGGAAATTGAAAATTGAAAATTGAATTGAAATTGAAATTGAATTGAAATCGGACTCCGATTTTGGGACTCTTTAGGTGGGTGTGCTCCCACCGATCGGGACCCACACCGACGTATTTGTTAGTACACACACGCACGCACACACACACACACACACACACACAGACGCCAAAAATAAGTGTAAGAGGGCCCCCTCTGACTTAGAGGATTCAGAGAGCTCTAAAGTAATTTATTGCCATTTCTTACACACAGACACATAGACACACACACAGACACACACCACTCCGGCCATGCATGGGGGATCAAAGGGAGATCTCAGGGAGAATCACAGGGAGATCTTCACAACTTTAAACTCATCTTTTACATCTTTTGCTTCTTTTGCATTCTGCATCCATGTATTGTATGGACATCTTAGGAACTACTTTGTCAACCAGCTGGAAAAGTAAGATGGTTTTATTTTTGTGAACCATTTAGCAAGCCTGTATGTTTTTCTTAGAATCTATAAAACATGTTGTATTATTTTACAATGAATGATAAAGCATTTTATTGATATTCTTTTAAATGAACCATGGTTTCAACTTCAGCTAGTGAACTGTTTCAGCACGGGCTGCCGAGGGTGTCGTCTGTCTCACTTGCACAAACAGACATACAGATGCTGCTGTCGATGAGAGGGAGGGAGCTTTTTCAACATCTTGAAGTTAGATGCTTTTTATTTTTCACATCATATTTAAATCTAAATGTTTTCCTTATAATCTATAAAACACGGTTTCATTTTTTAGCTTGTGTAAGATTTTTCTCTGGGTGAAGGAATGTTCAGCCATCTCACACAGCCACTGTCACAGATGCTAGCACAGAGGCCGAAGGCCGATGAGAGAATTTGAGGGTGATCATCAGCACTCAAGTAAGCTGCTTTTATTTTACAGACCATATTTATATGTGATATGGGCATTATTAGAAAATTATTCCGTCAATAGAACGGCAGGATGGGATGGGAATTCCGTAACCAATTCTTCAGAAGTTATTTCCCCCAAAGGGTCAATAGGTCAGTAACATCATTTGATCTAGAACATAAAAACATCACTAGGGTCAAACTGTTCAATTGATTGATCGCTTCCTGGATAACCACCATGTACCAACACATGTTTTTTTTTTGGATTAGAAAGGTCAACGGGTCAAATACCAGAATGTACCACAGATGTTCTCGATTAGAAAACATCATCGGGTCAAAAAACCACCTGTCCATTTGATTGATCGATAGGTCAATGGTTAATCGATATTCCAAAGATGGAATTCAAAGGGTCAAAGGTTTATGACTACTTCAAAGATGGAATCCGGAAGGTCAAAGGTCAGCTCCGCCCACCTGTCAATCATAGGCAATAAATCATTTTGACACAAGCTGCAGGGTTAGAACTACTCATGAATACTAACGCAGTATGAAGTTCCTTACATTCTCTCGGTTATTTTGAAAATTAAAGTAACAAAATGTTGGTCCATTGTCACAATATTAACAAATTGTTGCTAACTACAACTGCGTGCCATATCAAAGTGCGCATCTGAAGCGCTCTGACCGGTCTAGCCTGCGGATGATTGTTCTTGTCGCCTAGCAACTGTGACTGACAGCTGCCGATGACGTGCGGGAGTAACTACGTTTCCACTGGACTTTTTATATGCAACTGGTTTAAAATATTCAAATAGGACTGACAACCTGTATAAATATATTCACCATGGTCCATTTCTGTACACAATAATAAAAAGAATACCCTACAAAATCGCCTACAAAATAGCCTACAAAATCGCATCAAGGTACGATTAACATTTGAATATAGGCTTTTTTTAGGCTATTTCATTACATTATTGACGTAAGTTAACACCCAATATTTGAACAGTTTAGAGTGTAATCTGACTATTCAGGACACAGCCTCTAGCTAAACCAGCTCTGGCCAACCAGCCGAAAATACATGACTCGAAAATATGCAGAGGAGTGGGTCCCGAGAACTGGAGTTGAGAACCACTGGTCAAAAGTATACTTGACAGCTGTTATCATAAGCAGAACGAGCATTGCTGTTTGTGAAACCTTTGTCAGCCTCCAAATCAGATCAGTCTTCTCATTAAATTGCACATCAGCTAGCCTACTGTCTAAACACAGAAAACAGAAGTCTGACCCCCTGGTGCAATAAATTGTAGCTCTTTGATACATTTTATTTGGAGTAAACATCTAAAACAATCGTTGATTTTATGTTTAAATTATTAAGAGAATGGGGATGAAATTTGGTGGATGAATGGGGACTGATATAGTGCATGGTATACATTTAGAACATACCATCACTTAAGACCAGACTTCGTAGAGGTGTTGATTTAATGATCCGATGCTTTATTGTCCTGTCTTCTTATCTATCCTCCTCTATCATGGCTCCCACAAAGTGGTTAAATATATAATTTGTATACTTTGTAATGCACAACTTTATCTCTCCCTATTTGTTCAAAGTATATATATGTACTGTTCTAAAAAAACAACAGCAAATGTAAAGTTCTTCATCATCACTTTTATTCTGTAATTATTTCTTGCTGAATATAAATAAAGAATTAAAAAAAAAAAAAAAAAGAACATACCATCACATGCGTTGAACATATTTTTTTCAGTGTGTGCGTTAGAAACTGAGAACCTGTTCAGCGTATTTGATGGTATAAGAAATACCATATAATATATCAGTCCCTATTTATCCACTAAATTCTTTAGTCATCCCCCTTCTCTTTATAATTCCTTACCTCCAGAACCATCTCCCTCATGTGAAACTGCTGCTGAAGCTCCTTGTCTGAAGACAGGGGTTTGTGATACAGCAAACACATCATGTCATACTTCTTTAAAGCCTTCTTATAGTTCCTTTCATTGACATTAAGAACTCTGTCCCTGCCATCAAAACTGGGAAACTCCAGACCCTCTTCTGCAGAGATGTACAAGAGAAAATCCATGCAGGAAACCAAGACAATCCAGACAGACAGCATAGTAGCAATGATTAAACAGGAGAGTAAAAAAGAAAAGTCTAATGGATTGAGTCCAGGTGAGATCCTGCAGGACAGTGAGTCTGAC